TTTCATTATGTTGGTCAGGCTGTTCTCGAACTCCTGACCTCAAGTGATCTGCCCACCTCGACCTGTGCTGGGATTACAGGTGTGAGCTACCACGCCCGGCCCAGCCTAATTTTTTTCATTGTCCTCAGCACACAGCAAGTACTCAAAACTTATTTGCTGAGCTTAAAAATGAGTGTATAAAAAAATTATGACGACAGAATAAACACAAAACAATGGTGGTTAAGATGGGACACTGAAAGTGCTTTGAGAAAAATAACCAACAACAGTAAAGTTAAGGTGGGCAAAGACTGAACTATTGGCAGGTGTAAGAATGGTAAACATTCAAAAAATGATTCAAAAAATGATTCAAGAAGAAGAAATTTTTTGTGAGTAGTATCTGGAGGTTTGATTTAGGTATCAGTATTCTCCATCACTTTCAGAGGTCAGGACCCCTATGGAGATGTTCTTGAAAAACGTTCCAAAGTTGCCAATCCCTGAACTAACTACTGGGAAACAACAAATCCCCTGATGTCAATCTGTGTAGCACATATTAAACTCACCTGGAAAGCTCTGGCTTGGGAATTCTTCCTCCAGTCTCCATGGCTCTTCTCCTTGTTCTAGCCTGAAGATCACCTCTGGTTTGTGAACACAATACCCTGTTAACAGGAAATAATTTAGGATTTGGACAAAGCAGTCTAGACCTCAGGTCTTTGAAGCAGGAAGAAGCTTCTGGGGCTGCTTTAAGTTGCCAGTGGAACATTTTCACTGGAGAGGTGAACACAAGTATCTTCCGGTGCTCAGAGGTGATCAATCAACACTGACTCCTGAAGCCTAACCTTAAATATCATTAAACTATACAGACTGCCCATATGCTTCATAATCAAAAGAATAAACAAATGCTATTTAGAATGATACAGTGAACCGACCTTACCCACTGAGACAAGGTTGCTGTAGTTCTCCAGCATCACATCTCTATACAGAGCCCTCTGACTAGGATCCAGGTGCTGCCATTCCTCCTGGGTGAAGCCCACAGTCACATCTTTAAATGATACTGATCCCTGGAACTTCTGTTCTACCTGAAATGTTCAGAATTAGATGGCATGAAAAAAGAAGTATGGGCTAATCCTTACCATGATTATTATTCAGAGTATTTGTTTTGCTTTATACTTTTAGGGAAAAAAGATCCTAACAGAAATATTCTGCCATTAATGCATTAAGATATTAATTCATGCAAAAAAAAAATCAAGTTCCTACAATGTACCTGAAACTATCATCACTGCTAGAAATACTAAGATTAATAAAAATCTTCCAGTGTTCAAAGAACACACAGAGTGGTAAAAAATATATGTGGTAATATGTTATAAGTACTAAGGTGAAAGTACAAACCCAATAGACTAATGTTAGGAGCAAAGTTAGCTCTGCTTTGAGCTTCACTGAGGAAGTACAGCTGTTGGTTGAATTATGAAGAACACTCTGTTATGTTCTTTATAAGCGTGGGGCGATGACACAAGCAAAAGTGAGGGCCTGCAACACACTGCAGACTTCAACAAAAGGGCAGACAGCACAGGAGATGGCCTGGTGCTGTCTTGAGAAGAAAAGCCAAGCAAATGGGTTATAGAGTAATTTTAGACCAATGGTCTCCAAAGTATTTGATCATTTACCATTTTCAAGAATATTACTGTGAACTACAGATTTGTATTTACAAATCACAGAAATAAATTGTCAGTACATTTATTATGAATTCTAATTTAATTTTCATTTGGATTTAAAAATGTAGAAAAAGAGTGTGACATTTTGTTCATCACAATACATATTCTGGGTTCTAATCCTTTAATTCAGAGATAATAATAAGGATGCGTAGAAAATGGAAAGATTTTGGAACTACTATACTTGAAACATCTGTAAGGTACATAGGAGAAGATATCCAATTGGACTGTTCTGGATATCCACTAGGGCGCATCTTTTAGGGATCACTGCTGTGAAAAAGAGAGAGCCAAAGATGAGATGTGAGCATATACTGAAATTACGTGACCAGGTTTTGTTTACAGAACCAATTCTATTGAGAACGGCAAAGAACAAAACAACATTTACATAAACTACTGTAGAAGAAATCAGGATGCAAATAGGGCACAGATAATAGGAGACAGAGAGCAACAAAATGTGGTCACCAATTCATTAAGAAAAAAAATGTTTCCTCTGCCTATCCCCATGAACAGCTGCCCAGATACAAGAGCCACAATGTAAACCAGGAAAGTTAGGGCAAAATAGGTTGGACACAGTATTCTAGCAAGAAATGTCCTAAATATATTAAATTTGACACATAGGTTGGGTGCAGTGGCTCATGCCTGTAATCTCAGCACTTTGGGAGGCCGAGGCGGGTAGATCACCTGAGGTCAAGAGTTCGAGACCAGCCTGACCAAAATAGTGAAACTCCATCTCTACTAAAAATACAAAAAATTAGCCAGGTATGGTGGCCGGCACCTGTAATCCCAGCTACTCAGGAGCCTGAGACAGGAGAATCCCTT